CCATGGGGCTTTCTGGGCGACAGGATTGCACGAATTCAATTAGGGCATCGTGCAACCCGAAACGAAAAGCTTTGGCCTCCACAACGAGTACCCGAATGCTCAGGCACCCATTTTTAATCTTAACCGTTGGACTTGGAGCAACGGCACATTTTTGGAATCGACGGCAAAAAACCCATGGTCCTTTGCGTTCACGCGCCACAGTTAATCCACGTTCTGCTTGGCATGAGATTGAAAAGCACAACAGCTGTCCGTTTTTACATCTGGGTCACACCGACCCATCAGACAGCGTTTTGACTTTTGAAGGGAAGGGGTGGGGAGGGGAGACGGTAAAAAAGTTGACAGCTATTTTCCCATTTTTAGTGCTCTATTCATCGTAAAAGCCTGCCAATGACGCAAAGACGTCTGAGAAAAACACGCGTTTCTCGGGTATTATTATTGGCATGTTTTTGTAAACTAATTTATTTTAAAGAACATTATGGTGCACGCACAGCAATAATGGTGCAATGCGCAAACACACACCACGTAAAGGATCAGGAGGCTGATAAGCTGAAATTTTAATCCCCCTTCTTATTAACAAGCACTTGACGCTGCTCCCGGAAACAGACCCATGTGCCACTGCACACACAAGTTGACACTTGTGCATCCAACACTTGTGGGTTCAATGCCAGTTTTTTGCGATCAAAGTAAAACCTCGCGCAAAATCTAAAAATCCGCCTTCAATATTTGACGCCGTGGCGCCAGCGGTCGGCAAGCCGGACTCGCAAGCGGAGCAACGGGCAATCGTCTTGAACAGGTCGTGCCCACTCCCACCCAGCAGTAGAAATGAGGACAACGGGGAGCTTGGAAAGAGGTGGTTCTCCCACCGTCTCCAAGACAGAGTAGGCCAAATACCCTCAAGGGGGCCCCTCGCTAGACCTCCCCTCTATAAATGCGAGGCCCCCTTCTGTAAGTAGTGGCGCGGCAAGCAAGCGCAGGGACTGCACCTTTAGCTTTCAATTATTAACACCACTTTAATGGATCGCCCGTTTTATTATTCTATTACCACAAAGCTAAACAGCAGCGCTGCAGCACGTGCACTGTATATTAATGTAATTTGTTTGGCCGTCAATCAAACCCGGCGCGCCACCAAGGCGAGCCGCACCACGACGAGAACCTTCGAATGACGAAACGTGTCCTGCCCAAGCCCCACAACTTCGCTTCTCTTCAGTGACAATACGGCGCCTCTAGCCCGCGTAACGGTCTCCAATTCCGTGTGCTCCTCCTGCCCCGTCAGCGCCACTCCGAGTGTGCGTTCTTCCCCCCCCCCGCCGCCCCCGTGTTTCGATGCAGGTTGCATTAGCATCGTCAACACAACTTCTGCAGGCAGACACCAAGGACAAACCCATCCCCGGCTTGGAGACAAGATACAATTTCTGGACACCGCAAGACCAAGAACCCCCACACGCACAGCGCTATCAAGCATTAAACAACCACCGCAGTACATTTAAATGTCACCAATTTCTCCATATGCAAATAGTAGTTACAAACTGCACACGCCCGATTTCGACACGCGATAGAGAACGCTCATTAAAATGGCAAGGTCTATTGAATGGTCTGCAAGTCACTTGGTGCGACGCGCTTAAGAGCTCTTTTTTTAATATCAGCGCTCTGTGTCACACGGGAAGTTGCAGTCATCGCGCAAGGGGCTCCAATAATTACGCAATTTGTATTTGGAGGTCGATTGGTAAACAGACAGCTGCATCGACAGGTGGGTGATGAGGAATGACGTAAGGAAACGCCGCTCCTGGGTAAACTTGTAAAATATCTTAGTTTTATTACACATTTCATCTGGTTGCCAAAAACGCATTTTTATTTATCCTGGGATCATTTTAATTTGTGCAGTTGCATGCTGAACTTAATTCACCAAGGTTTTCGAGAAATTCGTCGTGTGGCCTCGATGAGCTCCATCCAGGTTGAGAAAGAAAAACCCACGTGTTTTGGTCAATGGCGCATTCCGCCATTAATGAGGCACCATTACGACCAATCCCAAAAAAAGCGCACGACCAGACCGCACACACTTGCGCGTTTCAGGCGATTCAAGTTGCCCCTGCGTCGACCACCAACGTTCGTTCACCTGCAGCAAGTCACGACCACAGCCCGGCGAGCCGCCAGAGTCGGGGCCAGTTGGCGCACGCGAGGTCACGGCAGTGCAACACCGAGATCCAAACTCCGATTAGCGGCCAGAACGGCGGGATGGGAGGGAGCATTAAACACAAACGCTGAAAACGTAGTCAGTCACATTGGGAGGTGTCTGCAATCCCCCCTCCCCTCACTCACGTCAGACCTGGACGGGGACATCTTGGGTGCAAGCTCATCCACGCCTCAGATTTCCCCGGAATGCCATAAGCCTCGACACAATCGGTGAGACCGATGTTTAGTTTCTGGCTAAATTCCCCACTTTATGATCCCAAGTGGGAAGAGACATTGCTTCTCAGCGCCTGGCTGCGGAGCATTTATTGCACCGAATGGATAAAGTAATGTTGCTGCTGTTGTTTGCAGCCATATTTCCTTTGACAACCAAATGCTTTTGATCATCGAATTGTGGTCCAACGTCACCTCAGCTCTCTCGCATTCAGTATTAGTCGTTAACATTTTCCACTACGCATCTCATTTAGTACCAAGGTGTTATCTTTTGGGTTTCAAAATTGTAATATTACGTGTGTTGTTGTACCCAATTTTGAATTTGCGAGCATACCCCAGACCTCCCCCGACAGACAGAGTCCCCTCACCCAGTTATAAAAGTCGCACACAAGCTATTTACACACAGGCCTCTATCGGCCATAATAACGAGCGAAATGCATCCCGAATGTTTAGGACTCAATTATGTTCTCTTTACTGGTAAGGGAAGCATTGAAATGCAATCTTGCAAACAAATTCAGCATCACATTAAAGAATTTCAGACAAGGGCCTCATCTCAAAAATCACAACACTGACCGCATTCTCCGGCTTACACGGCGCTCCAGAAACCACCACGCCAAACTTGTGACCGGTCACGGCACTGCTATCAGATGAGACCGCAGCTCTAACGAGAGTTAAAAGCGCGTTTTAAGCCAGAAATATGGCATACCTGGGGGACTGCTTCAGTCCAGGTTTCCCTTGAAAGACCTATGTCACTGGAACACCCACCTGGTTTAAATGCCTTTTAAGAATGGAATATAAACCACGTTTCACTTCCGTGCAATGCACCATTTAAAGTTTGCATACCTGTCCAATGAGTGCGCGGTTTAAAGGACACTTCAGTGCTATGCAAGAACGCAACAGTTTTGCCAGCAACAGAACACGACGTCTCCCTGGGCGCCCAAGATTAGCGCATATATCCCCAAGGCATCCTTCGGTGATTCACGACCTTCATTTATAACCAAGTGGGGAGGAGCTCCGCAGAGACGGAACGTCTTTTTTTTTTAAACAAGTGACCCATCAGGTTACTTTCTCAGAGCGCCGACGACTACCCTCCACCAAAACGCAGGCAGTGGGGAGAAGTGACCGGCACGACCTCCCGGTGGCACACAATCCAGAAAGTATTGCCCTGTGTGGCGTGCACGTACAAACCATTAGCGGTGCCGAACAGCATGTCCCCCAGTGACCAGGGAGGGCTTGTCAACATAACACTCCCAAGGCAGAAGGCAGCAGCAGTAACCAATGGATACACTTCTGCACCAATAATTCCAACCAAGGGTGAAACCGGTGTGTACAGCTCTCTCCACCGTCCTGCTTACAGCGGTGTAAAAGGGGGCCACAATGTTCGACTCTGTTGAGATGTTAGTCTAAAAGACAAGGGCTGTGCCGAGCCGTGCAAGCAATAAGGCAATACCGTGACATGCAAGGCAAGGTTGGTAGTCGTGAGCCATAGGAATCACTATCGCACAATTTGGGGTCTAGAAAGCACCTTGTGAGCGTTGTATCGGTAGCATTGTTTTGCACGCACATTTTCTGTCGGACGAGTTGCACAATTTTCAGACGTCGTTAGAATCAGTTTATTGCAAGGCCACACAGCAAGCCCCAAGTGGCGTGTAGAGGATCAATGACGACTTTCACTCAAGGGGCCTTTCACTGGCAAGGTGACATGAACGACAAAGGAGACGTTAAAAATAACCAGGTGGCAGGACGAGCCAAAGGAGGAACAAAACGAACTGGGGACACTTAAGATAAACTCAACCAAACTAAGAATAACATTGTCCAAGAGCTTGTTGTCCTTCCCCCACACCTCCGATTAGCACGGTTGGCTAGGTACGGGGCGAACGAAGTTAAACACACACGAGACCGACCTCCACAGGTGAGGGAGTTCCACAACCTGGGGGCCCACCAGAGCAGCACTCACGTCCCAGGCACGACGCGACTCCCCAGGTGGTGGTGTCGCCCGAACCACCGTCAACGTTGCCGTGAAGGAGAGCGCCGCCTCAAATCTTCCTCGTCATCATCGACGACTAAAGAACCCAAAACGCCAAGGGCAGTGGGTGCGAGGGTAAGGAGGTGGTGGTGGTCGTGGTAATCACATGGGGCTGGAGGAATATTTATCCCAGGGCGCCTGAATGCGAGGCATAACCATTGCTGTATCGGGACAGTAATATGGTCATGCAAAGCAGAAGGGTGGCACTAAGCAGCTGTCTATAATAAGGGGATCAACAACTCCCTCTTAGCGGGTAATGCATTGGGCAGTCGCACACACGGCGACTACCGCACCTTCATGGCGTGCCACGTGTTGTACAGTGTCAAGATATGCAACGCAACACTGTATACTCAAACCCTCTGCAGTGGACACGCGGCGCAGCGCGCTCTGGGCTTTGAATAATGTGCGCATTCATTGGGCGGACTGCAATGCACTTGTAAAAGCCGTCACCACATTCACTACAGCAATGTATGCAACTACCACCAACTCCACAAGTCTCGCAAGCGAGGATATTAAATGAGTAAATGGGTCCGGCGTGGGTCTAAATGGAGATGTTGGGGCCACGTTGCCGCACCTGCCGATGTTTCGAGGCGCCGACACGCACCCACACGACACCAACTCCATGTGCACAACACTGGCAGCAGCTGCGTGCACACACACACACACAACCGCCTCACGCACCGCACTCCGTGTTACACGGAGACACGTATTTATAACAGCCTGGCAGACACCAACATTAGGAACACGTTCCGTTTCCGAGTATGTAATGACAAGAACAATCGGTGAACAAGACTCGCGCCAGTTAATTTAGACTACCGAGGAACCCGCTGGCAGATGGGACCCAGTGATCACTGACACCGTGTGTAGAACATGCACAGGGATTCATTTACGCCGGGTCTGTGACCGGCCAGATGCTTTCCCGGTCACAGCAAATCCAGTATCTCGCTCTCTCTCTCTCGATGGACGCGACTGCCAGGTCACACGCCTAGGCTAACAGCGACCCGGTAAATGTTTTAGGAGGAAATACAAACCCACTCTGTGTATGCACCACAACCATGCTCCCGCATTGGACACAGCGCGCAATCGCCCCTTCGCTGGACTTGTGGACCACCACCATCGGAGCGACCGCCGTTGCGCGCACCCACGAACGAGTTTGGAGCAGTGGCCACAACCACACCCAGCGGCAGCAGCACTCAATCCGCCGATTAACAAGCAGTCGGGCATCAAGAACTGTACCACCGCATCGCTTTTTGCGTTTGGCCCAAGACCAACTTGCCGCGGCACAGACCGTTTTCGGCTCCCACTTTCCACCGCAGATTTCTCGTGCGCAACACCTCCAAGAATCCAACCCGGGTCACAGAGACCTTAGCGCAATGCCCCGGTCTAACCGCACGGCTGCATCTGCAAAGCCTCTCCGCATTGCGCACACGTGTTTATACAATACAGTAGGAGCACGCGTGCAAAGACAAAGGTCCCCCGTATAGCGTCACGCGGACCCGTGCGGCCAAGTGCTCGCGAGCATCTCTTAAGGCGGACAGCGCGTACGAGAGAGGCCAGTGGCGGCGCGCAGCACCACGCCCCGACCGCCTTCGTATCCCCGGCGCCTTATTATGTCACAGCGCATCGGTGGGTGGGCAACTCGTTTTAAATGCCGAGTCAACCTAGCGGTCTCCCAGTCAACGTTCTACAAGCGGCAACCGCTGCGACGGAGCAGCGGCCGGGACTCGAACTCGAGTGTCAAGAGTTCCACGGTTGGAGTGCGCCAACCACTGCGTCACTGCTCGCGACACAAACACGCGACACACACGCGCGCGCACTCACACTCGCGCGTTCTTTACACGCCAACGCCCTAAACAAGCGCACGAACCCCGATACAGACCTTGTACGCCGTTGCATCACCCGGCGCTACAGACGAAGATTCTAACGATGAGGATGGCGATGATGTGGAGTTAAAAAGTGGCCAGAGCCAGACGGCTACTCCGCGAGTTGGAACTTGGCGTGTCCGAGTGGTGGTGGTGGGGCTCTTGGCGTCCGTCTCCCTGCCTCCACCCCTCCCCGGTCCGTGTGCCGAGCTTTAAAAAAAAATTTAAACAGAAGAGCGAGAGCCCAAGGAACGCACAGAGAGAGAGCAGAAACAAGCCTCCCCCCACAAACTCAACTTCCCTTCCAGCCAGTAGCGGTAAAGAGAGAGGGGGGGGGAAAAGAGGGAATGGATATTTAGTCGATGGAAGGAAGATTGTGACGGATGGAGGCAGGGAAGGAAGGGTGACCGAGGATTGTGTTTCTGAAGGTGTGAGCCCTAGCTCTCGGCTGCTGTTGTTGCTGCTGCTTATCATGTGGCTGTGCCAGCAGTTGCAGGACACGCCACAATTTATGCTCCACGCGAGTGGGCGGGCCTGAGAGAACCTCACTGAATTAACATTAAACACAGAAAAAAGAATTATTATTATTGGTGTCTCTGTGCCCCTCGCTCCCCACCACTCACTCGGTCGGCTTGCGTCCACGCACTCAGCAATGCACACCGCCTTGTACACGACTCTCAGTATTGTGTACGCACGATCAACGTGAAATTATGTTACTTTTCAAATGGCAATAGTATCGTTAACGTGTTGTACCGGAACGCAGGTGTGGTTAATGTGCTTCATGATGATAGACGTGCCAATTTATGATGATGAATGATGCACCTGAGAACTATTTAGGCGGAGACGCCGCCTCTAAATGTTGATTAGGGTAACTGGGATGATGGTGGTGATTGGATGATGGTGACTGTGAATCACATGATGATTGGCAATGGCAGCCCCCTTCCCTCGCCTCCCTTAATGTGTGCAGCATGTGGCGGTGTTACGATTCCCCAGTCACCAGTGAGACCACCTCGCCGCCAATAATAACTCATACAAATAATGTGTAACCATCGTGTTTCATATTCTTTCTGTCTTTCGATAAAGTCACGTAGACGGTCACGAAAGCTTTAAGTCAAGATTAATCGCGTTTCCGTTAAGCGACGTTCCAAATCTAAAAATTACAAGACAAGACCCTCCGTATAGCCTTAACAGACTGTTGGGGCAAGTGCTGTTAGCGAGCACCTATGAAGGCCGGCACGGCACACGATGGGGTGGGTGGCCAGCACCACGCCCGGCCGCCTTTGGGGCGATGTTTACACACCGCGCCAGGTACTCATTTGAGGCTGAGGTCACCTAGGGGAGGCCCAGGACCGTTTCAAATAATCGTCATTGGTGTTGGCCGTCAGCGGGAACCGCTACACTACCGCTCAATTATACTCCCAAACACACACACACTGAGTAAGCACTTATTTACCGGCACAGCACCGTGCACATTACAATGGCTATACAGTATTTGCTTTGGGGTTAATCTTGTAAAAGAAGACAACGTGTACTGGTGGAAGGCAGTAAACATTACATTATGGGGTTAAATGTCTAAGGGTGAGGCACAGGACAGAGCTATTCGTGCCAACGCAAGCATTTACATGATTTTGCAGTGCACTGCGGGTTTGCAATCTCAACTCGGCGAGGTGAATTGCAATAATGGGAATTAATTTCAACGGCCACTCACCTGGTGTTCATAGATTGCTGTATTTGGTGGCACTGCGTTGACAGCGGGTGCATGACCACAAATAACAAAAACACGAAAACATTCGTCAATAAAAAATACCTTAAGTAGGTGACGTTTCAGACTGGGCTTTCTTCACCGCACTGAGTTTAGAATAACTCCAGTGGGTAATCCACGTCCTCAAACAATTCCTTTGCAGATTGGCCAGACTCTTAATATGTTTCTATCGAGTTCTGTCGAAGGTAGTTAGTTCACTGTGTATGAGAGCGCATTGATATTTAATTTTATCTAAGGAGGCTTGACAAATCTCAGTCGTAGCAGCCAATTGCCAGCACTGAGCCAATGGTGGATATTCTACATTGCCATGGCGCCAATGTCTTCAATAAGGACAACCACCGTTGACTTCCAACAAAGTAGTAATTACTTTATCGACCCCATACGGATGATGGGCTTTGAGTCAACTCCATTATTTCAACTGGCAAACCCCTTCTAATTGTGAACCCAGCGCTCTGGCCACAGTGTCACTTCTGCTGATATCATATTTGTCCAGATAGTGCAAGCTTTTATCAGGGCTGTTGCTGCTGATAAGAGACAGAAAGGGCGTTCTGTGTGATGTCATTCTGCCTCCAGACAAGACGAGTCTATGACTGCGCACTGCACCGCCGCGCTCTCCGTGTGACTCATGCCTCGTCTGGGCTGTGCGGACGAATAAAAGCCCCGTCTCGTCTCGCTGTTTATTTAAATAAATCATTATAACCATTAGGGTTAGAGATAGGACGAAGCAAACGCATGCGATACAATGATTGTGTTTTGGAAAATTCATGAACTCGTATTTTGTACATTCAGTACCCTCGGGTACAAATCGGTTGTTACAGAGATGTCTTACGCGAATGTCTTAGACATTCTCGTGACGGAGCGATGTAAATTCTAGTTGTGTTTCACAATGTTTGTTGAACGGACACGTGGTACTAAAATAAAACACGACGCTTATGACTGGAATAACATCTGGACACCAACATTTTCTTGACTTGAAGAATGGCGGTGTGGCAATTCATTGCTTTCACTCGCAGGGCAGGTTCAGGCTGAACCTCGACACTGCTCGAAGTCTCGTGCTGAAACTCTGACAAAGTCACCATCCAAGTGGCTTTGTCTCGCGTGGGATCCGACGCTAAATAAGATAGTCAGCAGGCGAAGCCCCGTCGACCTGTTACTAATAATGTATTCATTACTATATACCGTTTTTAAAAAATAAAATATTAGATACTGGGGTAAAGGTGCAGCCTTGTAATCGCTCGCTCACGGCACTGCTGGCGGAAGGCCCCACTACGCTCGCGGGTATTTGCCGACTGTTCATGCTCGCCATTAGAGGCGCCTTGGGGAGAGCGCACAGTTGGTATGATGTTGGTTTAGTAGCATGATGATGACAAGAGACGAGGCGACATTCCCGTAACACGACGCTTCCCGCACCTCCGATGAGCACGATTGGTTACGTACGGTGCGAAAGAAGTTCCACATTGTACATACATCCAAGGGCGACCTGAGAATTAAAAATGTGCGGAGATATTCGGATGCTAAATAACAGACTCTGTGGTCACTTCCCAGCCCCGGCATTTTGTCGGAGCTTGCAGCACTCCACTCCCCCTACCCCACACCCCACCCTCTCTATCTCTCCTCCCTGGCTCCTCCCCCTCTCTTACCTATAAAGCCTCTTGTCACAGCAACCCTTTTGTCCACTTCAGCAATTGTTTATGGCTGTGGTTGTCCCACCTGATGACGGACGCTTGTGTTGCGCCCGAAACGTCGTGATTTAATTAAATTTAATTTTATACCTACGTGACTTTACCGAAAGAATCAAAGAGTATGGATGTAACAGTATATAGTAGCCTATATAAAAAATGTATTACCAGCATTTGTTTGTATTGATGTTCTTAAAGTTTATCAATTAACGTACTTAGCCCACGAATGGAACGCCCCGAGATTGCGGTCACCGTGTGGAGATGGAGCAAACGGAATCTCAGCGTGGACGTTCACATCTCAGGATCGTGAGACAGCTTGAGGGAGGAGACCTTCATCTCGCAGTAGATTGACCATGGCCGATGATGATTGGTAATTAGGTTGTATTTAAGAATGATACGTAAGGGATTTTTATTCACGAGTAGTGTAATAGCGCTGGCTGTTGGGCGGCAGCGGCAGCTATGGTGGACAGACGGCACACACGCCGGTGAGGGCGTGAACACGGTGTGTGTTGGGGCGTGAACACGTCGGTGAGGGCGTGAACACGGCGTGTGTTGGGGCGTGAACACGGCGTGTGTTGGGGCGTGAACACGGTGTGTGTTGGGGCGTGAGCACGGTGTGTGTTGGGGCGTGAACACGGTGCGTGTTGGGGCGTGAACACGGCGTGTGTTGGGGCGTGAACACGTCGGTGAGGGCGTGAACACGGTGTGTGTTGGGGCGTGAACACGGTGTGTGTTGGGGCGTGAACACGGTGTGTGTTGGGGCGTGGGCACGGTGTGTGTTGGGGCGTGGGCACGGTGTGTGTTGGGGCGTGAGCACGGTGTGTGTTGGGGCGTGAACACGGTGTGTGTTGGGGCATGAACACGGTGTGTGTTGGGGCGTGAACATGGTGTGTGTTGGGGCGTGGGCACGGTGTGTTGGGGCATGAACACGGTGTGTGTTGGGGCGTGAACATGGTGTGTGTTGGGGCGTGGGCACGGCGTGTGTTGGGGCATGAACACGGTGTGTGTTGGGGCGTGAACACGGTGTGTGTTGGGGCGTGGGCACGGCGTGTGTTGGGGCGTGGGCACGATGTGTGTTGGGGCGTGAACACGGTGTGTGTTGGGGCGTGAACACGGTGTGTGTTGGGGCGTGAGCACGGTATGTGTTGGGGCGTGAACACGGTGCGTGTTGAGGCGTGAGCACGGTGTGTGTTGGGGCGTGGGCACGGTGTGTGTTGGGGCGTGGGCACGATGTGTGTTGGGGCGTGAACACGGTGTGTGTTGGGGCGTGAACACGGTGTGTGTTGGGGCGTGAGCACGGTATGTGTTGGGGCGTGAACACGGTGCGTGTTGGGGCGTGAACACGGTGTGTGTTGGGGCGTGAGCACGGTGTGTGTTGGCAGAGCGGAGGAACTGGGGCAAGGGTCACGTAGGACCCCGTCTGGAGCCCCCTGCAACCTGCTGGAGGGTTCGAGAAGAGAGGCGTAGTCAGGGCGGGGCCAGGCCGCGCTGGGAGCATAAAAGGAGCCAAGAGCGGGGGGCTCGAGGCTGCCGGTTCTGGGAGTGGACTCGTCTCGTCGTCGCTGTCGTCTCGTCGTCTCCGCTAGATGTTGCGCTACGAAGGAGAGTAGTTGGCTATATTAGTCAGCGCCGTCAGTGTTAGACGGCTCGTGTAGTGTACAGAATGAGGGTTACGCTATCGTGGAGAGCGTGCGGACGAGGCCGTGAAAGTTGTTAATAAGAAAGTGCCTCCTAGAAACTGCCTTTAAATCGTTTGACACTACAAGTGTATATAAGGTAAATTGAAACTCGGTGATACAGGATACAGAGGTGCAATATTTAATTGATTAATTTGTGTAATAATGAACGTGTAATATAAGACGAAAATACGCCCTTAGAAAGACAAAGGCATTTAACGGGCTTGTGGGCCCTGTTAACGAGCACCTCCGAAGGCCGACAAAGCACACGCCGGTGTGGGCTAGAGGACACGACGCCCGGCCGCCTTGTCTCCCCACTATTGACGTTTACACACCACAACGTGCATTCATTTGAGGCTGAGTCGACCTAGGGGAGGTCCATGACCG